GGAGAAACTCTTGGGCGTACTGGAGCGCACCGTCCATGGTGAAGGGGGGGAAGTCGGTGAACGACGCCAGCTGAGCTGCGCCCTCCTCGCTGACGGCAGAGTCGAGCTGCTGCGATAGCCGGAGGCTAAGCCCTGTGCCTGCACGGACCAGGGCACCCATTACTGCGTTAAACTCCGGGAGATGACGAGTTGGGACCAAGACACCAACTACTCCGGGAAAAGACGGGTTACACTCAAGCAAGAGGGGCCAGCTCAGTGACTGCTGGACGGCCTGCATAGAAAGACTGGCTTCAGAGACATTTGGCAGGGTCCGAGAATTGCTGTGCTGCAGACAGAGGGTTTATATGCGCTGAGCGATATCGAGCAAATGAATGTCAAGAGCGTCCTGCCATGGGGACTGACTGGCTCTTCCAAGACGTACCCGTCAGGTTAAAGTGAAAGTGCGCGAAGACGCTATGGTGCAGGCTCCGAACCAAGCCGTTTAGCAGCGGGCGCCCCTCCGACTTGTCGCGGCTCGGAAAGTACCCGTCCATCTCCCGCATTCCAGCTTGCGCCTCATCCAGGAAGGTGTTGAAGAAGTCCTGATTAGTCAGCCTTCGCAGCTCCTCCATCACCGCTTGCAGCTTGAGCTCCAACGCCTCTCGTGACAGGCTCAGCAGGCAACCCCAAGTCTTCAGCAGCCAGTCCTGGAAATATACAAGAGGCCTATGAGCGATTTGGGAGCGACGAAGAAAGAGGTGATGGCAATGAGATGCAACTGCAAAGACCGTGGAAAGGAGAAAGCGTGAAAGAGAAATCATGTTTCAGAAGCTATCCGAGAGCAAAGGGACTGGCATCGGATGATGTCTGCACCCCTGCTTCCAGGAGCTGTTCTTCCAAGGAGCAGCCCTCACCTCCTGTGCACTGATGCTGATGCCGATGAGCTGGAACAGGAGGAAGCCCTTGGGGCTGGCTTGGTCTTGGTGCTGCCTCAGGTACTCGCGCAGGCCCAACGCAGAAGCGAGCAGAATGCGTGCGACGAACTTCTCCATGTCGTGGAGCCGCTGGTCACGAAATTCTTTCAGGCGAGGAATGTCACCCTCAATGGCCTCATATCGCAGCCCATACTTCTCACGGAGTCGAGCGATTGCCTCCCGAAGAATGTTTGTGCCAGGCTCCTTCTCTGTGGAGAAACTCAGGTAAAAGCTGTACTCATGGCAGGATGCCTCAAGCGCCGTGCGGGACTTCCCGCCTCCTGAAGGCGCGATGAGCGCAGTCGCGCGCGTTTGCACCTGGTCCTGGCCCTTCCCTGATGCGTGGAGCTGCTGAATCTCCGCCAGCAGCGTCTGTGCGTTCGTTAGGCCAGGCTCGTTGCGTTCGGGAAGCTTCGTGAGCAGCAGACTTGGTGAATTCCGGAAGTACACAACAGGAA